TTCCTTTTTTTTTTTTTTTTTTTAATTTTTATACATGAAAGCAAATTTTTTTTTTTAATTAGAGTATAATTGCAATCTTAATCTAGCTTAGTTTCTAATATTTCTGAGCTATTTATTTCAAGATGCCAAATATAGTATATTTAAAATTACTAAAAAAGTACATAAATGGTAAATAAATACATTAAAATAAATAAATAATTGTATTGAAAATATTTGTAATAATAATGAGAATTAAACATGTATTCACAAAAGAATCTCTATAGATTCTTATCTTTCTATAGAATTATTCAGTCTCTTATAATCTGATTATAATTCTATAGAAAGAGATTGAATATAGAATTATTCAATCTCTTTTTCTAGAATTATAATCAATCTCTGTATAATTATTAACTATGAATAAAATTTTTTTTTAAAACAGAATATGCTGTGAATTAAAAAATAGAAGCTCATATTAATACTAAAATAGAAGTATACTTGTATCTATATACTTATTTTTATAACCGTCGTTTAATAGCTGACCCAATTTTGAGTTTACGACTACCTATGTTCATGTCCTTAGCTTTGTAATTTTGTACCCAATCCAGAAGACAAGGAAGTTACTGTAGCTGGTATTGGGAAAAAATACCTTTGAGGTGGACTTATTTGATGTAACTAACTTGCATGGAAAGGTAAATAACGAAAACCTCCTACTGTCAGCTCGATAGCAATTGGTTTATAACCCATGATCCATCATCACTGAGGATATCTTGTGTCAACACTGTGGTCGGTGTGAGCAGGATGTAGAATGCGTATCAACCAGCCATTGCTGAGATATGAACCCAGGGAACCTCATTGGGAGACGAGCACCCTGTCCCCTCAGTTTAGCAATATATTTTATTATCTATTTTCATGAATTTTATGTTATTATTTTTCATTGTATGTCATGTCTGATCAAATTTATGTTATCAGATAAAAATATAAAGTATTTTTCATTTACTTAACTAATATACTTACTTAACTAACTATGTGAAAATATAAGGAAAGAAATGGTAAAATAAAAGTGTTTGTTACTTTTATTAGTGTTACCTTTTATAACACAATATTACCACTTCATAGAGTTTTTAACTAATACTAATAAAATTGTAATTCTTTAGCATAGATTCAGTGGAAGGCATTTTATCAAAAAAAAATCTCTTTTTTCTATTAAAAACATTTGCTTATGAAGTTGTTGTTTTTTTGTCAGGAATTTTTTTATTAAACATTTTTCTAAATTTTATTTGAAATTGCAATGTATTGATTTACATGTACGAACTATTTTATTTTAAACAGTGTAGTTACAGTTGAACTCGTTTATAACGAGCACAAAGGGACCGTAACATGTACTCGTTAAATTCGAGTGCTCGTAATAAACGGGTTCTTATGGCAGGCGTGCAGCCAGAAGAGGGGNTTATAGATAACACTGAAATATTTTTCATTGAATTATAAATGAGTAATTGAAATTTCAATGGCCATATTGCCAAACATAAATATTACTCATCTACCAATGTAATGAATAAATCTAAACTGAAACTAAAAAAAGGAAAGAAAATAACAAAAACAAAATATTTCTTGATTAACAGTACCACTGGCGCCATCTGTTAATGAAATTATAAAAAGAGTCAAAACAGTTATATTTATTAGCAATGAAGTTTTGTCAATTAAATCATATCAAGATGCTTTTTTAGTCTTGCAAATTATATTACAATTGTTTGTAAATTGTTCTTAATGTGAAAGTTAATGTTCACAGATGTTGTTATGAAGCTTTAACAGTTGTTTGTAAATTACGCTTATTTCAAACTTACAAATTTCTGTCGCCAGATAATTATTACCTAAAAAGTTTTATTTTCGTTATTTTTTTTTCTAAACAAAACAAATCTTTCTAGAATTTTTTGTTCAAATAATCTTGTATTTATTGCAATAAGTTTTGTCATTGAAAGCATATCACAATGCTCTTTCAGGGTTGCAAATTATATTGCAATAATTTTTTATAAGGTGAAAGTTTATGTTTACATTTATTATAAAGTTTTTGCAATTGTTTGTAAATTAAGCTTGTCTAAGAATTTGTCTTGCAAAACAAAAAATTAAGACTTAGTTGTAATGTTTTTATAATACAGAGAAAAAACGTAAAAATGATTTAATTGTGAATTACTTGAACGTGGGTTCTTTTTTTAAATTTATTTATTTAAGCTTTGATTTATTATTTTGAAACCATTTGCATAACTTACTAATTACTGTTGCCAGATAATTATTACCTAAAAAGTTTTATTCTCATTAGTTTTTTTTAAAAACAAAACTTTCTAGAATCGTTTGTTCAAATACTATTATATTTATTGCAATGAGAATGAAGTTTTGTTCTTTGTAGGCATATTAAGATGTTGTTTTTGGATTTCAAATTATATTACTGCAATAGTCTGTAAATTGTGCTTAATGTGGTGAAAGCTAATGTTAACAAACGTTGTTATGAATATTTCGTGATTTATACAAATAAAACTAGATTGAAATTGTTTCTGCTTTGAAATTTAATTTTGTTTTTTTCTATTCTAGAGTATTATGAGCAACTAATGAGTGGTAAAGCTAATTTTGAAGAATTAGCATCTAAATATAGTGACTGCAGCTCTGCTAAAAGAGGTGGAGATCTTGGACTCTTTGGCAGGGGAGCTATGCAAAAACCTTTTGAAGACGCTTCATTTGCTTTGAAGGTTGGTGAACTAAGCAAACCAGTGTTTACTGATTCTGGTGTTCATTTAATCATCAGAACTGCTTAAAATATTAGCTTTTTAATTGAACTTGAGACTATAATTCTAGGCAGTTTATTGCAAATTAGTTGAGGTATATAAAGTTAAAAATGATTCATATCTTGCATTATATCAAAAAGTTTTCTATACTATTAATCATTGCTTCATTAGTAATTTAAATCAAAACTATTTAGAACATTATTACCTTTCAAAATTGATGTGTGTTTATTTAAATCAGGAATTTAATTTATTAATACAGTCTGTGCTATTTAGTAAGACACCCCATTACAATGATTATTCCATTATAACAACCAATGCCTAAAGTTTAGTTTTCCATTCTATTGATATTATGTTATTTTAATGCACATCATAATGTCTGCCCTTTTTCAAATATAATAGCAACTTAAATTTACTTGCTTTTAAATTTAGTTAAATAAGTGGCTAAAACTTTTGTGTTTTAGAAATAGAATGTTTCAAATGTATGAGTTAATTTATCAAATAACTTTATTTTTTATATTACAGCACATTAAATGTAAAATACCTTGATACTCTTTAAGGAAAGGGACTGACTCTCTAGATTTTAATTCATAGTGGTTCCTATGATTAAATAGTCAGCCAATAATTTCATATCAATAATCAAAAATATAATCACATGAAAACTATCATGAACTCTTGTGTACATTTATTGGGTTAAAAGAATGTATGCTTTTTCTTTGTGAAGGACAAATAGTATCACAAATCTTATGGCAATTAATTCTCTGTCATATTAGCTGAAAATTTATTAGGCTATAGTTCAAAACATCCTAAGCAAAAGCTCTCATTGACCTTAAGTCCAAAAATGGTTAGTTTCCAAGAGACAGAGTCTTAACATGAGAGGTATGAGCAATGCTCACTGTGGTTAAGAGAGTTTGAAGAGCGTTTGCTCACAGCATTGGACTTTGGGTTCTTGCACATATATTGAGATTGTTATATCTCAATGTATGCATAATCTCAATATATGTTCTTATGATATCTACAGTGTCGAGTTCAAATAACATCAAATATCTACTATGATGCAGCGAATCAATTTCCTCAACAAAATGTAAATAATATTCAAATAATTGATGACTACTTATGTTTATAGGTAATATATATTTGGCTAATTCTAAGTATTGTTTTGTGTAAACAATCAGCCCTTAAAAGAGCAAAATCTGATCTGACAGCATCCACGTGGTGCACATTGGCTAATGTCATGAAGGTATTGAAATGAGAATTACTATTTACCTTTGAGGTTTCATGTCTTAGAAATAGTCAATTTCTGAACTTACTGTTAATGAGAACTTTTAATCAGAACGTTTTGAACTACAAAATATTATATAAGGACAGAGAATTAAATTCCATAAGATTTGTGCAGGATCTTTTTCTCTTCATTTTTTTGAAAATTTTATATTTTGGTTTTGTAAAATTTTAGCCCTTTTAGATGGTTTATTTTCAAGCTTAAACATGTGTTATTCTCTCATCTCCTTTGAGTTTTGTATTGACTTGCGGGAATATTTCTTAGTAATAGTTTTTTGAAACCAACACATTTATATTACTTTTCAATGTATTTTCCACCAATAATTTATTATTTTAAATTGTACTTTTACATATATATTGATACAAACAAATCTTAAAGCAATTATAACTGATTATTTTATCAATCTCCTAATTTTTTAAAATAAAGATTTTTTTAATCAAAATTAAGCCAATATTTAGCTGCTAATAAGTAAATATATATGGTATTTTTGTGAAGTCGCTATATAATGGACAACAGAGGTCCTTATATGGAGCGCTGAGTGTATAAATTTTAAATTGCATTAAGTAGGATTTCTCTTTCTTATGTTAGCAATTAAATTTTGCTTGATACTTTTACTTGTTAAAATGTCTTTTGCAAATATTTAATGTTATATTAATGCATTAGTCATGTATATATATGCATATTTTTTTCCTTTTTGTTTTAATCTATAAATTATCAATTTATTACAAGTTGTTAAATATTGTATGTTGTTGAAAAGATGTTATATAATAGTAAATAATTACTATCAAAATGATTGTTTTTGTCAGTCATCTCTTAGCTTCCTAGGAATTATTCTATTTTATAAATGATAGTAGTTTGAAAATAATTCTTTCAATAATAATATCTTCCAATAATTTTTCATTTATTGTGTAGAGTTTATATTTTATGAAAATGTCTCTTACATTATTAAAAATAATTTTTTGCAAAATGTTTCTTTCTTATCTTAGAATTTGACATAAAATTTGCAGAAGTCTCCTTTAAGTGATTTGAAAAAAAGATTAATCAAATTACTAATCATCCATTCATATTTTTGTTTTGTTTCGCTTGATTTTTTTTTGTCATGCATAAATTACTTAAAAAAAAGTTATGACTTGACAATATATATTGTCATCTTAAAAGCTGGATATATATTAAGCTGAACTAGAATGTAAAGTACTGTTTGCCCATATTTCTCATGCATCTGACAGCGTGAAGGTCCCATTAGCATAGTTTTTTATTCTGACTTCAGGTGAATGAGCTTAGATAATATGATTACTTTTAAAGTTTGAAGTTATTGTTTATTTGTAAAACTGTTAAAAACAATCTAATAGCCTGCAATCTATGAAATAAGTGCTGTTTTTTGAATAAGTTATATGAATGGTATCTGCGCACCTGGAAAGTCATGGATTTCGGTATTGAACAAAATTTGTCAAGAAATGTCATGATTTTAACTATTTTTTAGAAAAAATCATGGAAAGTCATGGATTTAGGTTGCGGAAAAATCTAATTTTTAAAATGGAATTTGCACCCCCCCCCCCATTTCANTAAACCCCCCCCCCCCCCCATTTCATGGTGTTCTGATATTCCAAATATCTGAATTTGTAACAAAATCCCCTCTCACAGTAATATTTTATTAAAACATTAAATGTTTTGTCATGTTCCTTAAAAATTATGGTGTTCTTTCAAAAAATGAAAGAAAGAGCATCATTTATAGAGCAAATTATCTTTGAAACTTCTGTGATTTCAGAACTTTTTATTTAATTTATTTATTATTTTTATTTTATCAATTTAAAATTCCAGCTGAAGCAAACCAGTCATTGGCGAATTTTTTTTAAATTCAGAAATGAGAACAGAAAAATCAGGAATATTTCTTTCCTTTCCCATGAACAGGAAAAGTATCTTTAGAATATAATTCTGCAGAAAAAAAGAATTATTTGCTTTTGTATTTTTTTCAGCTATTTTATTGCTTCAACTCTTTCTTTACTCTGTTTTCTTTTTTAATTTAAAATCTATAAATATGAAAATGCAGAGTATAACAGTTTTAGTTATACCTATAATTTAAATTAATGTTATTAAAATGCTTTTTTAAATTTATTGTTGTGTTTTTGTCGGAGAAAATAGTAACTTAATTAAGTCATGAAAAATTCTTGGAATAAGTCATGGATTTGAAAATCTAAAATGTAGCAGATACCCTATATATGTTTGACTTTTTGAAAGTCAATTTGAGCTTGAATTCTGTCACCTTCCTTATAGTCAGAACTTAGCTGACCTGAGTTCCATTTATTTTTCCATTTAAGGAAAAATTTTGTTCATGACTAGTATTTTGCAAATTATCATGTGATCACTGACACCCAACCAGGACCAAGCACCATTTTTCATGGCTTTATCTTTAAACAGCCATGACAAAAATGCCTTTTAAGTTTGTCACCAGTCTGCCCATGTGGGCATTGCTTGAGCGGGTTAAAAATAAATTATTTTAAAAATTTAACATTTTACTAACATTCTTTAAATTGCCTAGCTAGAATCCAATAAATAGGTTTTTAGTAGATTAATTTATAAATATTATTTGGCAATAATACTTTGAAAATAAAAGCTTTTATTTTTAAAATCTAGCCATCCTATATAAACAGAAAGTTTACAATTTTTTCTGAGCCTACGAAAAACTCAAATACTACCATGCGACAGTCAGAATCAAAATAGAGCTGACACAAAGGAGAATCTGCAGCCAGTTAGATGTGTGCATGCTGTTGATCTGCTTACAGTTGGTAAAGTGTTCAATCTGCGATATCATCTTAGAATAATAGTAGAAATTTAAAGTTGACATTTAAAAAAAATTAAATTCTGATGTTAGGATTCATTCTGGATGAAAAGAAGAGCAGAATATTGCATACTGTAATCATGGAAAATAAAATTCTGCAAATATTTTAAGAAAACATAAAAATCCGGTTTGTAAAGAAACTAAAAAAATTTCAATATGTTATCAACTAAGTTTCAATAAGTAAAAAAAGAAAATGTATGATGAAGAGTCTAACTAACTAATTTGACAAATGTATTGAGTTGATTGAGTTAAAAATTAGACGAATAGGTATTGTGTTGTGTAATTTGTGAATCACGATGTTTAAGTTAAAAATTTCATGAATGTGTGTGATTTGCAAATTAGATTTAAGAAGCGTGAAAATATGAACAGTGATTACCATTGAAAAATTATTTATTGCACTAGTAATTACATAATTTATATAATTTTTCTATAATCATTTTGTACTATATCTTCAGGGAGAGCCGTGATGGCTCAGGGGTGATGAGGGATGAACATGGTTTGAGTCCCAGCTGGTTGATGCTGGTTGATATGACGGTTTGGTCGTCGGTTTGGGGAAAATAAATTATCCTACTGCTTACTGTCTTTGCTATAGTTGCTTTTGCTTAAAACGTTTAGAAGTGGTATATTGGTTTTTGAACTACCTAAAGGATAATAAATTTATACACGTTTTTCCCCCCTAAGCTTTAATGTAAATGTTAAAAAAAAAATTACATTATATTGAATGAGATATGATTTGAATTATATTTTATTGATTAAAGTTGACTATCACTTTTAAATAATTCACTGTGTTTAATTAATAGTTAAGCAACCGAGTAAAAAAAATTAAACCATGAGAAAGATCGAATGTGCTATTGAAGTCCATTCTGCTCCTTTAAACTTTCAAACAGACATAAAGGTGTTAAAAGGAGTTATATAAAAGGTGTTTGTGTATAATGAAGTGGCTTAAAGATTAGACTGTTTACCGGGTCACATGGTGAAAAGCTATGGAGTTATCATTTTGATCTCGAAAATGGTAAGGAATATTTAAGACGGGAATTTTGATGTTCAAACTTCTCTTTAACTATAGTTTAACTTAGTCATTATTTCATAGTTAATGAAAGCGTTGTTATGCTCATAATTAATAATAAGCACATCTATAAGTAAAAATGTACAGTAAAGGGTAATATCGATAAACACTTAAATCGACTCTGATAATTTTTAAGTACACTTTTTATGTATGTCTAAACTCTTCAGGATCTTAGTTATCATATTAATTAGCTATGTCTTAGTTATCCTTTAGTTCTGATACTACTATAAATGTGATCAATTCAGATTTTTTTTAAATATGTATCATTGATTTTGGTCAGAAACTACGGGTCTTTAGGGCCCAGAACTTAATTTATGAGTCCTTTTTTACTCAATTCGTTTTATTTAAAATAATGCTAATCTCTATTTTAAAGACATACATAAAAATTTAATATTTTATGATTAGAAAAAAAAATGTGATTACTAATTAATTGAGAAATCATAATTCAACAAAGAATTAAAACCAAAATTTCTGTAGCAATTCAACTCAACATTATTTCAATTTCTCCTTCTGTTTTTTTTACCTACATAAATTTGTTTAAAGTGTTAATTTCTTTATTTTTGCCCTGGAGGATTCCGTGTTCCGGGGGAGCGTCGAAGGCTGTAGCTCTGCTTTTGTTACTCTCTAACAATTTTTGACGTTTATGACCCTCTATAGTGCATAATTTGAACCTCTGGTATATATATATATATATACTGTATTCGTTTTTTTTATTATTTGATTTTATCATCACAGTGTGATCCATTGTATAAATAAAGGAAAAATATTCTCTTTATGATTTGTTTTTACAAAACCCAAAGTGTAATGGCGAATATGATAAATTTCTTGATTCTAATTGAGTGAGTAGAAAATATAGGGCTTTGCCCAGAGGTGAACACTTTGAATTTTATTTTAATTTTATAACCGTCGTTGAACAGCCGACCCAATTTTTCGGGTTTGACTACTAATGTTCAACTCCGTAGCCTTGTAATTTTGAACCCAATCCAGAAGACAGGGGAACTCCTGGATCAAATATTGGGAGAAATTTGCCTTCGTGAAGGATTTCTTTGATGGCTCTAACCCGCATTTGCGTTACATGGAGAGGAGGACCACAAGAACCTCCCACGGTTAGCTTGACAGCAAAGGAACTCTAACCCATGATCCGTCTAACACTGAGGATATTTCACATCAGTACTGTGGTCGGTGCAAGCCATCGCTGGGGATTCGAACCCGATTCAGCTCATTGGAAGTCAAACGCTCTATCCCCTGAGCCATCGCGGCTCAACACTTTGAATTTGTTACCTTCAATGAATTAAGAAAGTGCAAACAATGAATTCTGAGCCTTGTTAAAAGTGACCAGGGTTGTCTTAATTTCATGCAGGGCCCCCGTCACAGAAATGTTTTAGACCCAGGGATGTGATTCTTCCTCGGATTTCCGCTTTTTTTCAGATTTTTCCATTTTTATCGCTAATTTCCGCGGATAATTTTTTTTGGGCAAGTTAAAATATTTTATGAGGAATTTATATTTATTTACGATTTTCGAAGATAAACAGAAAATTCAAACTATGTCCTAGCTGCTATAACCCTTCCGCATTTTTACTTATTTCAGCTATTTTCTCGACTTCTTATCACAGAAAATAAGATTTTCCGTATTTTTATCCGTCCACCGGATAGCTGATATTTTTGAAATTCAGACGTCGCTGCTTCCTGTTTTCTGGCGTGAAAGCAAACGAAAAAAAAAAAAAAAATTCGAGGTGATGCGGAGAAAATATATATTTGCTCATTCAATTAGTCTTGTAAATTTTTATTTATTATGTCAAAACAATACAAACAAACATTTTAGAAATCCCAAGTCCAGATTCTGCAAATATCTCGATTCCTTTTCACGCGATTTTAATATCAATCATTGATTTTCGTATTTACCAGATTTAAAAGTTGCGCATTGCGATTCTTATTTACTCTATTTAAATATCGTACATTATGATTCTTATTTACGAGATTTTAAAATCCAATATCGCGTTTTGTATTTATACGCGCTTTTAAAACCTTATGTAGCGATTCGTATTCACGCTAACTTAA